CATTCAGAGCCTTCCTGGGATTTTTTTTTAATTTAACAATGTTAAGCCTTCTTTCATGTTTCCAGTAAAAGCAGGTACACTACATGAAATGAAATACATTTATTTTCAATAGGACTCAAGCTAGATTAAAGTCAATTTGTGTTTTAAAAGTGGTATCTTCTTGGTGGTAGTTTTCAAACCAAAAACAAGAATGAAAATGGTTAAAATGTTCATCTTGTTCTTTAGATTTTTGTTAAAAGCACATTCCAGTTAGTGCTCATGCTGTTAAGTTATCTATGTTTTATAGTCATGGATGTTAGGCTTGGTTATTTTTCTAATATAGCTCTCAAAGGTCTGCAACCATCATTCATGCCTTACCTTTATACAGAAACACTTAAATGAAACCACAACCTGCGAGTGTGAGTGATAAACTTGGGATTGTGTCAGTGGCATACCAGCTCCTAGAGGCAAACATCTGTAGGTGTTTACATGTGAGATAAGCTGGAAATCTGTGTGAAATCAGGGGAAATCGCTCCCTAATAGAAGTCACCTTTTGCATCAGGGACAGCCCAAATGATTAGGAAGACCCACTTTAAGACCACACCACACACCAAGCAAAGCTCAGTTGTTCCGGTGTCCTAGTTAAATTTCCATACCAAGTTGGGGCGCCTGGGTGGCGCAGTCGGTTAAGCGTCCGACTTCAGCCAGGTCACGATCTCGCGGTCCGTGAGTTCGAGCCCCGCGTCGGGCTCTGGGCTGACCGCTCAGAGCCTGGAGCCTGTTTCAGATTCTGTGTCTCCCTCTCTCTCTGCCCCTCCCCCGTTCATGCTCTGTCTCTCTCTGTCCCAAAAATAAATAAACGTTGAAAAAAAAAATTTTTTAAATTTCCATACCAAGTTATCTCACACAGTATCAACTCTTCACCTGTCTCATCTTCTCCGTGATGTTGAAGCGTTCAAGCCTGTGGGACTCTGTATTGACATACCCAGGAGTATCCCTTCTCCTTTGTTATGCAAGAGAAAGAAAGAAATCATGCAGTCTTTCTGGACTTCATAGTCCCTGGCATATGCCATCGGAGATGAAACCCGAGGCAGCATAATTGTCGGGTTTGTTGTTTCAGATACATTTGATGGGGCAAGTGAGAAAGTATGGCTGCTGTTGTCCAGTCAGCTTGCTGCCACTTCAGTCCAACTCCAAAATCCTATCCATGAAAGAATAGTGGTGCTTTCTGTGTCTGAAGGAGTTCCCTCTAGAATGCATGTAGAGAGATTTTAATGTACTCTAAACACCCTGTGTGAGATAACCTTGCATTTCATCTAGACTCTGGTCTCCTGGTCTTCTTAATGTTTTTAAAGCGTTTTGCTGTTAAAACAAATAAAAAACAGGGCAAACAAGCAGACCATGTGAATTTTTAAAGCATTTTCCAAGGCATTTTGTATTTTAAAGACAGTCTTAACTGCACCCAATCTATAGCTCTCTGTTGAGAATTGACGTTCATTTGATACTATAAGCTTTTGAAGAACTCTGTGAATCACGGTAGACTAAATTATGTCCCATCAGTCTTCAGGTTAACTGTAATTTATAAGATTTTTTAAATGTTTGTTTATTTATTTTGAGGTGGGGGGCAGAGAGAGAGTGAGAGAGAGAACACGAAGCGACAGAGCCTAATACGGGGTTCCATCCCCATGTAGGGTTCGATCCCACAAACCATGAGATCATGACCTGAGCCAAAATTAAGAGTTCGAGGCTCAACTCACTGAGCCCCTGTAATTTGTAAGATTTAAGAATTAACAGTAATCTGTAAATGATAAAAGTGATTATTCTCAGTTAGCTAAAATAGCCAGTGAACTTAAAAATCCCATTCTTAACCACTTTCAGAAAACAAGAATTTTCATTAATTCATCCTAGACTAAGCAGAGGTTTTTATCTGTATAGGCTATGAAAGAAGTTTGCCAAATAAAGAATAGTGCACACTTGGCAAGAGAAGCTATTTTTGAAACCAATACTGCTGGTCCACTCGTTATTTGAAGATGTATTGAGTCTACTCCATGAATAAGGAACAATTTATAAAGTAGGAGGGACACGTGCTTAAAATTTTTTGGTTAACAGTTACTTTGAGTTATAGTGTTCATTTGTAAAAAATAAGTCATATTCATTTGAAAACAGTAAGTATATTTTATGAAATGTTTTCTAATCTGACTTTTCCTTAGTCTTCTTCTAGGTTTGTTTCAATTACTAACAATTATATAATAAAATTACATTAATTTTATATTTTATAAAATTACAGTTGATCCTTTCGAAAGGCCTCTTTGAGAGTCGGACTTACAGTTCCCAGGGAACAACAAGTCATAAAAAGCAAATAGAGTGAGCACTGTGTTTGGAGAAAGAAATTCAGAGTTGGTTTATGAAAAAGGAAATAGAAAGGTTGAATTAAAATAAACATCTCCAACTAGTAAGATATATGAATTTTAATTTAATATTATATAAAGACAGATAATAATATCCTTCTGACCTATTTGCAGAGAAATAGAAGAACCTCTAAGGGCAGATAGATATGCACATACCGTGCATCATGATTAAAAGATTGATCACTTTTTGAAATCTGTATGTGTTAGCCTCTATACAAAGCTTAAAAGAAGCTTACAATCCAATAAAACAGGATTGACAAACAGTTGTGTTTAACTGTGGGGCTTTTTGTTTTATTGGGAGCCAGAGGAAGAGAATAAAGTGAGTTGTCAGTAGTAAATTAGTAAATGGACCTCGGAGGCTTCCTGGAAGAGAAATTCTTTGAGCTAGATTTTTTTAAAAGGAAGTGAAATTTCCAAGTACATGACATGTTGAAAACTGTTCAGATCACAAGATAAAAAGGTTTATGTTTAACTTGAAAGTGTAATATGCAAATAAGATGATGAATGTCAGTACATTGTGGCCTGGTGAAAGTACTGTGACATTATTACATAGGAAATTACAGAACCAGCATGTTTCCCAAAGTGTGTTCCATGGATTGCTAGTTCCTCATGATAAACAGACCATGAGAAGAGCATGGACAAATGAATTTAGAAACAGAGTATTACATTGCTTGGAGACTCACAGTGTCTGTTAATATCTTAAAGCTTCTAAGAGATCCTGAAATAGAGGAACTTTTTAAGGTTTGGTTTGTTTCCCAAACTTATTTGGTCAGAGGACCCTTTTTTCCCTTGAACAGCTTGAGGAAATTACATTTTATTTCCACCAGAAAACATCTTGTTTATCTGCCTTTTTGATGGGGATGCATATGGTACTGATAGCCATGGCCAACATAAAGAAGGTTGCCTGATAGTTTTGTTATTATTTTGTATGTGCATTCCTTTAACATCTAATATTAATGCCCTGAGAATTTAAATTATCTAATTTATAAGACTGGAAGTTTTGCCAAATATGACTCTTTTCTGCATCCCAGAAGGGCAATCTGTCAAAGTAATGATTTGCTGTTAGTATCCTTACCTTGCAGAAGGGAGTCTAACATTCTTCCTTACTTCTAAGATGCATTTTCCCCACATTTTCATATTTCTGACATTGCAATGCAAACACAGTGTTATATATTTAATGGGGTAGTAGGGTTTTTTTCTTTCCCAGAAAAAAGCTGTTTTTAATTCAATGCATGTATCTTCTATTCAAGTCTGTCTTCAGAACTAAAGAAATGTGATATTTTGGTATCTTGTGGTTTCTTCAGTAAGTTTCATGGAAGACCGTGTGTGAAGCTCCTGGCATTGACTTAGAAAAGGCAGTTTGTTACAAAGATGAGAAAGAAGTTAAACTAGAACCTTTTTGTTAGAAACTTGGGATCTGAGGCAATCCTATGGACCAGTTTTGGTCTTCGCTTCTCATTCGTGGCCTGCATAATCTGTTTGTCTGGCCTGTTGTTTCACTGCCACTGGCCAACCTTTTCTGTTTACTCCCAGTTCAAATTCGAAAAGGCCGTTCTGGTTGGTTGAGCGAATTATAATCACCCTAGCTGAGCACAGCCGAGCACCTCCTATAGTGGTCTTTGGTCAGGTGCTGATGATGGATGCTGCCTGTGGTCATCCTGGCACAAAAAAAGGGCCTGATGGTACTTCCCTTGTGGGGAAGGGGACTGGGCATGGGAAGCATCCCCGTCAACATATTCAAGGAAACAAAAGTGGTCTTTTGCTGGTTAATCAAAAGGGCAACTCCAAGAAATGGCTAACGAATGTCTTAATTATTATAAACCTCTTCTGTGAGACCAGACAGCTGGGAAGGAGACAAAAGGAAGTTGGTGGAGGTGTGGGGGTAATTGGAGACCCTTTTCCCTTTTCTTCTACTTACAGCCCAGACATGTATCCTACGACTCAGACTTCTACAGGAAACCCAGGGAAGCAGAGGGAACAATGAAACTTTACCAGAAAAGTTATATAAATTATGAAATTTAAAAATGTACTCTACATTTCATAAACTCAGCAGTTTGCAACATGTGTATTACACTTTGATGTGCCAAACAAACTTTTCTATAACATCTTAATCAATGGGTATACTTTTGCCATTTTTTTTCGCTTGAAATTTTACCCTACAACTCTTGAGGTGTTGGGCTCTCACACAGACAAGTGTATTGATAGTTCTCTCTCATTCTTTTATGAGTGATGAGCATACAGTACTCCTTCGGTGGGCCTGTGGGCCCTGGAGATGACTGTAACCTGCTATTGATCAGCTGATTGAAGATAAATGGCTCAGCTGCTTGTATTGCAGATTACATCATTAACATGGTCAGTAAACCATGAATTGTTCAATAAGGCGTTTATCTTTTTTCATTTTACTTCTGCTCTTTTATCATTTTTATTATAAAAGACAAAATTACCCACACTAACCAGGAAGATCAGTTGAAAAGAGACCCAGAAGGGTGCCATTATGGGTGCAAAGTTGCAGATAGCTGAGTTCTAATGGTTTAATGATATTTAGTGTATGTTTTTGAGCTGAAGAAAATATAGAGTTTTGATCATCTTTTTTTTTGTGTGTTTCTCTTACAGCTTCCTTTTGCCTCATATTTGCTAGAAGCAGTACTGGAGAAAATAAATGAAAGAAAGAAACTAGTTGAAGGATATTTCACAATTATGAAAGATATTAGATGATATTATGATGAAGAACTTTTTTTCAAATGTGAAAACTTTTTGTGTGGTGGGACTGGAGAAATGCATTGCAATCCTGATACAGTATCTGCTCCAACTATCAATAGTCAGGTTCAATACCAAAATAAGAAGTCTCTGAAACTAATTAATTGCTGAACAAGTGAAACTAATTAAGTACACAGCCATTTTAAAGGAAATAGTGTAGCATTTGATTGTTGAATACAAATATTGCCACAAATCAATGCAAACTTAAAAATGATTTTCCTTCCAGTGCAGTAGAAGAAATTAGAACAAGCTTGGACACACAAATTGGCCTGAATATAAGAAGACAAAGGTGTAAACTGAGGACTTAACGTTTTAAGTTTTGTAAGAAACTAGACCATTTACATAAAACCAGTATAAAAGGCCTTAAATCATCCAATGAAGAGCAATTTGTTTTATTGGCAAATATAAAACGAAGCATCATATCTTAAGGATGAGAATTTAATGAAATAAATTGTGTGGTCCAATTATATCTGTTCTCAATATACTGGATTATGTAGGAGACACTGTATTTTCCTAGAACTACTTGGCAAAAATAAAAACATTTTCTCCTTTTCTCCCTTTCTTTTTTTAAATCACAAGACTTTGTGTGGCCATCTAAATTAGCAAGGGACCACAAGCCCAGTGTATAAAATTAGGCTAGATCCAGCATAACTCCTACTGTGGTCAACTAATTAAGTTCAAATTCCTAATGATGATATCATCTTTATTTAGATTTCCAAATACTCTTTTTTTTTTTTTAATTTTTTTTTCAACGTTTTTTATTTATTTTTGGGACAGAGAGAGACAGAGCATGAACGGGGGAGGGGCAGAGAGAGAGGGAGACACAGAATCGGAAACAGGCTCCAGGCTCTGAGCCATCAGCCCAGAGCCCAACGCGGGGCTCGAACTCACGGACCGCGAGATCGTGACCTGGCTGAAGTCGGACGCTTAACCGACTGCGCCACCCAGGCGCCCCATAGATTTCCAAATACTCTTAACCCCATTTCACCTTTTCGCTATATTCCTGCCACACATGACCTTTCTGTTTCCTCTAATTCACCAAACTTCTGCCTGCCTCCAGCCTTTACTCTTTTTCTTTTCTAGAATAGTCTGTATGTTTTTCTCATGACTGGCTCCTTCTCATCATTCAGGATCACCTTATCTGCTCCCTCAGGGACACATTCCCTGGCCATCTTACTACTTAATTTCCTTTATCACAGAAAATTGGCTATTTTACCTGTTCACTTATATGTCTTCATGTTATTTTCTCCTCCCCTTTCCCTTTAGAATACAGGTCCCCTGAGGTTAAGGCAGCGGTTGGCAAATTATGGCCCACAAGCCAAATCTGGACTGCCGCCTGTTTTTGTGCGGCCCACAAGCTAAGAATAATTTTTACATTACCAAATGGTTTAAAACAAAAAGAGAATATGTTTTATAGCATGTGAAGTTTATATGAAATTCAAATTTTAGTGTCCATCAATAAAGTTTTATTGGAACACAGTGATGGTCATTTATTTATGTATTGTTCATGGCTGCTTTCAAACTACAGTAGTGCAAGTGAGTATGCAGCCCAGACCATATGTGATGCTGTGGTCACTTTGCACTACTTAGCACACTACAAATCACAATGACACAATCTAGGAAAATACAGTTACAACTTGACAGCATTTCAGATGCCACAATACTACTCTACTGCACTTTTTAAGAAAAATATATACCCATCATGTCAAAACAAGAAAAGAAGAGAAAAATGGCTGTCAGCGTGACATTTTTTACGACATAGCAGAGTATGGATTATCTTGCTATTGAATTAGATGGCAAAACATTGTGATTATTATACAGTGACAGTATACCTATGCTGAAAGAATGCACTGTATATGGACATTACTGAACTAAGTACTCATAACAGAATTTCCAACTCACAAGAAAACAATGGTAAGAAAATAAACTACAAGATTTTTAATATAATATCTGATCACAGAAGAATTTTGTTACAAAGATAAAATGTGACTGAATTTCTATGCAGGCCTGAGGTCTTCCAGGAAGAAGGCAAGAGGAGTCAGACAGCAATGTTACCACAGAAGGAGAGGGACAAAGAAATTTGACGATGCTACCCCAATAACTTTAAGTATAGAGGAAAGGGGCCATCAACTAAAGACTGTAGGTGATCCCCAGACACTGGAAAAGTCAAGGAAATGGATTGTCCACCACAGAGACTCCAGGAAAAAAAACAGAAAACAAAAAAACAGCATTTGTTAACATCTTGACTTTAGCCTAATAAAACTGATTTTGCACATCCCCAGCTATTAGAATAAATTTTGCTTTTTTAAGCCATTAAGTTTGTGATAATTTGTAACTACAGCAATAGAAAATGAATACAGTTTTCTAAAATTCTGTTTAGAATTGTTTTATCTGTTTATGAGGGATATTGGGCAGAAGATACAAAATCAAGGCTGGTTCCATATTCAAACATCAATCAATGTAAGACACCATGTAAACAGGCTAAAGAGAAATATCACATGATTGTAAAATTTTACAAAAACATATGAAAAACTTCAATACCCCTGCACGAGAAAAGAAGAAACTCAAAACTAAGAACTTCCTCAATTTGATGGGATTGCAAAATGCCTATGGCTAACATTATACTTAATGATGGAAGATTGAACACTTTCCCCTAAGATCAGGAACAAGGCAAGGATGTCTACTCTCACCACTGTTATTCAACAAAATATTGAAAATCCTGGCCAGCATGGTAAGGCAAGAAAAGGGAATAAAAGGCCTACAGATTGGAAAGGAAGAAGTAAATCTATCTCTTACATAAATAATTCCATACACGAATAAATGAACCTCAGAATTAATAAGTGACTTCTCAAGATACAAGATCAACATAGAAAAATTAATTGTATTTCTATATACTAGTGAACTAGTAATACATGTGTGGAAACCACAATTTAAAAGACAATTCACAATTCCCCAAAAGAAGAAAAAAGAAATACTGAGGTATAAATCTAACAAAGCATGTCTAAGACTTGTATACTGAAAACTACCAACACTGATGAAAGAAGATTAAATAAATGGGGAGACATGCTGAGAGCATGAATTGGGATACTCAATATAGCAAAGATGCCAGTTGTCTCCAAATTGATATACGGGTTTAATACAATTCCCACAAACATCACAGCAAGATATTTTGAAAATAGAGACAAGAGTCTTCTAAAAAATTGTATGGAAAGGCAAAGGAAGAAGAGTAGCTACAAAGATTTAAGGAAAAATAAAGTGGGGGAAATCACTCTACCCAATTCTAAGATGTATTTTATAGCTACATTAAAAGTGTGGTATTGGCAGAGGAACAGACACCTTTTACCACCTGACCCTAATTAAAGCACTTTCAGCATATTTTTTAAAGCTTATTTATTAATTTTGAGAAGGGATGGGAGAGGGGCAGAGAGAAAGCATCCCAAACAGGCTCCGCCCTGTCAGCATGCAACGCGATGAGGGGCTTGAACTCATGAACCACAGGATTATGACCTAAGCTGAAGTCGAAATCAGACGCTTAACCAACTGAGCCATCCAGGAGCCCCTCAGCATATTTTGGGATGAGATTTAGTTAAGATAAAAAAAAATTTTTTAATGTAAGTGAAGTTTACATTTTCCAATATCTTATCTTAGGTTACTACTACTCAATCTGAGGGCACAAAAAAAATCTTCCTGTTGCCTTGACAAATTTCTTTGGTTTGGGACCTAGCTTTTTTTCTGGAGTTTTATCCCCACTGTATGTTCCCTATCTTATACACCTGTCAACATCCTTTGTCTTATAAGGAATCCTCTCCATTCTTCTTCTTGTACTAGTTCTGACACTGCTCATTAATTCAGTGTTGGGAGCAAGGTAGAAAAAGAAAAGTACATCCAGGGCATTTTCTTTTTCCTTTATTTTTATATAAATTTTAATTTTGAAATAGTATAACATAAGGAATTGCAAAAGTAGTATAGAGAATTCTTGAGTAGTCTTCATTCAGATTCCCTGAATAACACCTGACTTAACCATAACACATTGTCAGAATCAGGAAAATGACATTGGGACAGTATTATTAACTCAAATATAGACCATAAATGATTTTTACAAGCTTTCACATTCACTTCTTTTGGGGAGGGATAGTTTTATGAAATTTTGTCACACATGTAGATTATATAACTGTCAGCACAGGATACAGAGCTATTCCATCGACAGAATATTCCTCATGTTACTCCTTAGCATTCATATCCCCCTTCCGACGCTAAGGCCTGCAACTATTTTTTTTTTGTTCTTCATCACTATAATTTTGTTACTTTGAGAATGTTATATAAATGGAAGCACAGAGTATATAGTTCTTTTCAGTCAGCATAAGCCCTTGAGATCCATATAAATTGTGTATATCCATAGTTTATTTCTTTTCATTGCTGAATAGCATCCCAGTATATGCATGTACCACAGCTGGTTTATTCATTTACCCATCAACAGATACATGTGATGATATACTGATTGATGGGCCAAGTAGTCAGGGACTTGGGAGGAACATGTTTGGAACAAGGTGACAAGGAAGTCTGGGGAAGAGATATGTGGATAGACCTCTCTGAATGGGTGTAAAAGGTGATGATTTTTTTGTCCCATGTGAGTGCTTACCAAAGGGTGGCCTCAGCAGAGGAGGATAGTAATAAGTGAGTAGAATAAACTGTTCTGTGGATACCAGTCAGCCTCTTTTCCCAGCCACCTCTATCATTGCACAGTGGGCTCATGGACAAAGTGGTTACGGTGGCAGGTATGAGGTTATGCATGGGCTCAGCAACATGGACATCTACTCACCAAGGCCAGCCTGACTATAGCCACTATTGAGTGTCCAATCTTCAAGAATCAGAGACCCAACACTAATTCCCTGATCTGACAAAAATCCTCCAGGGTCAGCCAGCTACCTGGTGACAGGTTGACTGTATCTGACTGTTTC